AGCCACATCAGGAGGAAAACAGCAGTGAAGGAACAAGTGATGAAATTGAAAAAAGGGGAGAACAGATACACAGAGAATGACAAGGAGGTGTGTGAAGAACGCAACAAGAGATTCCAGGTCTTCATAATAGAACAAGGAGAAACCCCTGCACTAAATGAGGAGGCAAACCAAGCAACCTTGGAGGAATTTGACCTCACCAGTGATGAGGTCAAAAGGTGTCTGCTGGAGCTGGATGTGACAAAGGCTGTTGTGGCTGACAGAATCTCACCATGGATACTAAAGGGAGGTGCAGAAGCACCAAGTGTGCCACTCTCTATGGTGTATAACAGGTCACTGGAAACAGGAGACCTACCAGAAAGTTGGAAGACAGCTAACGTAGTCCCAATGTACAAGAAGGGTGACTGGCAAGAGGCACTGAACTACAGGCCAGTTTCCTTAACTTGTATACCATGCAAGGTGATGGAGAAGATCGTGAGGAAAAGGCTCGTAGAGCATCTGAAGGGAAATAACTTTGTAACGCACCACCAACATGGGTTCAGGGATGCTAAATCGTGCCTCACAGGTTTACTAGAATTCTATGACCAGGCAACAAAAATTAGGCAGGAAAGGGAAGGGTGGGCAGACTGCATTTTCCTGGACTGCCAGAAAGCCTTTGACACAGTACCCCATAAAAGGCTGTTACAAAAGTTGGAGCAGTAGGCAGGAGTAAAAGGGAAGGTGGTCCAGTGGATAAGAGAGTACTTAAGCAACAGGAAACAGCGAGTAACGGTGAGGGGGGAGACATCAGAGTGGCGAGATGTCACCAGCGGAGTCCCACAGGGCTCAGTACTTGGACCCATCCTGTTTCTAATATATGTAAACGATCTTCCGGAGGGTATAGACTCGTTCCTCTCAATGTTTGCTGATGATGCAAAAATTATGAGAAGAATCAAGACGGATGAAGATAGACAGAGACTACAGGATGACCTGGATAAACTGGAGGAATGATTTAGAAAATGGCTGCTAAAGTTCAACTCAGGAAAGTGTAAGGTGATGAAATTAGGCGAAGGGAGCAGGAGGCTGAACACAAGGTATCATCTGGGAGGTGAAATCCTGCAAGAGTCAAATAGAGAGAAAGATCTGGAGGTTGATATCACACCAAACCTGTCCCCAGAGGCCCACATCAAAAGGATATCATCAGCGGCATATGCTAGACTGGCCAATATAAGAACTGCCTTTAGAAACTTGTGTAAGGAATCGTTCAGGACCCTGTATACCACTTATGTAAGACCAATCCTGGAGTATGCAGCTCCAACCTGGAGTCCATACCTAGTTAAACACAAGACAAAGTTAGAGAAGATTCAGCGGTATGCCACCAGGCTCGTCCCGGAACTGAGAGGAATGAGTTACGAGGAAAGGCTAAAGGAGCTGAACCTCACATCCCTGGAAAACAGAAGAGTAAGGGGAGACATGATAACCACCTACAAAATTCTCAGGGGAATTGACAGGGTGGACAAAGACAAACTCTTCAGCACGGGTGGGACACGAACAAGGGGACACAGGTGGAAACTTAGTACCCAGATGAGCCACAGAGACGTTAGAAAGAATTTTTTCAGTGTCAGAGTAGTTAACGGATGGAATGCACTAGGCAGTGATGTGGTGGAGGCTGACTCCATACACAGTTTCAAGTGTAGATATGATAGAGCCCAGTAGGCTCAGTAATCTGTACACCTGTTGATTGACAGTTGAGAGGCGGGACCAAAGAGCCAGAGCTCAACCCCCGCAAGCACAACTAGGTGAGTACAATTAGGTGAGCACAGCCCAGGATAGTATTGACTATCCTGCCTTGACCCTCAGACCTGCACACATGTTGCACAAAATGTCATGGCAACATGCAACCGTGACGAGTACCATCACGCCTCTAAACAACAGGTTGATGGATCAAGAAGATGAGGAATTGTTAAGAGACCTTCACAGAGCTGTCAACGGCCGCCCATCCTCCCTACCCAGCTGGGAGAGTTCCCACTTCTGGTCACCTTTAAGACGGCAGGACGAGCTGTGAAGGGTCATCACTTGCACCACCAGACCAGATCACTACTGCTACTGCACGCAAAGTGGGACTATTGCACGCAAAGTGGTGCTACTGCACACAAGGTGAATCACTGGCAGAGTAGGGAGACGGATCTTGCTCACAAGGCAGATGGTAATAGTCAACACATTACAGTCCGGATCATCATAATAGGTGAGTGCCCCCTCAGGCTACCGTACTCCCTACGGTACGCCTGCTAATATCAGACATGGCCAGGGACACAAACTATAGTACGGTACCATCACTGGCTGATGACCTGAGGGTGTTGATGCTAGTAGACAACATTGAGGACCCGACAACCCTTCCCTCTAATGCTGACCAAACACACACACTAGAAACTGAAGAGAAGACGACGTTTCGGTCCGTCCTGACCCAAGTCAATCTCCACTCTAATGTTACTCTGGGCAGCCAACGGGCCGCAGGTAAGAATGACAGCGCCGCATTACGGAAACCAACGGTAAACTTTGTAACGGCAAATCAAATTGTAAACACACAGAAAACGCGATCTAATAACACAATGGAAAGAAAACGCATAATTTGGGAGTAATCACTAAGTAAGACATTCCATATAAGAGGCTCATGTAGGTACTGTCTGGGTACTGTCCAGCTGGTGTAGACAGCTGGGTACTGTCCAGTTGGTGTAGACAGCTGGGTACTGTCCAGTTGGTGTAGACAGCTGGGTACTGTCCAGTTGGTGTAGACAGCTGGGTACTGTCCAGCTGGTGTAGACAGCTGGGTACTGTCCAGTTGGTGTAGACAGCTGGGTACTGTCCAGTTGGTGTAGACAGCTGGGTACTGTCCAGCTGGTGTAGACAGCTGGGTACTGTCCAGCTGGTGTAGGCAGCTGGGTACTGTCCAGCTGGTGTAGACAGCTGGGGTACTGTCCAGCTGGTGTAGACAGCTGGGTACTGTCCAGTTGGTGTAGACAGCTGGGTACTGTCCAGTTGGTGTAGACAGCTGGGTACTGTCCAGTTGGTGTAGACAGCTGGGTACTGTCCAGCTGGTGTAGACAGCTGGGTACTGTCCAGTTGGTGTAGACAGCTGGGTACTGTCCAGCTGGTGTAGACAGCTGGGTACTGTCCAGCTGGTGTAGACAGCTGGGTACTGTCCAGCTGGTGTAGACAGCTGGGTACTGTCCAGCTGGTGTAGACAGCTGGGTACTGTCCAGCTGGTGTAGACAGCTGGGTACTGTCCAGCTGGTGTAGACAGCTGGATACTGTCCAGTTGGTGTAGAAAGCTGGGTACTGTCCAGCTGGTGTAGAAAGCTGGGTCCTGTCCAGCTGGTGTAGACAGCTGGGTACTGTCCAGCTGGTGTAGACAGCTGGGTACTGTCCAGCTGGTGTAGACAGCTGGGTACTGTCCAGTTGGTGTAGACAGCTGGGTACTGTCCAGTTGGTGTAGACAGCTGGGTACTGTCCAGTTGGTGTAGAAAGCTGGGTACTGTCCAGTTGGTGTAGACAGCTGGGTACTGTCCAGTTGGTGTAGACAGCTGGGTACTGTCCAGTTGGTGTAGAAAGCTGGGTACTGTCCAGTTGGTGTAGACAGCTGGGTACTGTCCAGCTGGTGTAGACAGCTGGGTACTGTCCAGTTGGTGTAGACAGCTGGGTACTGTCCAGCTGGTGTAGACAGCTGGGTACTGTCCAGTTGGTGTAGACAGCTGGGTACTGTCCAGTTGGTGTAGACAGCTGGGTACTGTCCAGCTGGTGTAGACAGCTGGGTACTGTCCAGTTGGTGTAGACAGCTGGGTACTGTCCAGCTGGTGTAGACAGCTGGGTACTGTCCAGCTGGTGTAGACAGCTGGGTACTGTCCAGCTGGTGTAGACAGCTGGGTACTGTCCAGCTGGTGTAGACAGCTGGGTACTGTCCAGCTGGTGTAGACAGCTGGGTACTGTCCAGCTGGAGTAGACAGCTGGGTACTGTCCAGTTGGTGTAGACAGCTGGGTACTGTCCAGTTGGTGTAGACAGCTGGGTACTGTCCAGTTGGTGTAGACAGCTGGGTACTGTCCAGCTGGTGTAGACAGCTGGGTACTGTCCAGTTGGTGTAGACAGCTGGGTACTGTCCAGCTGGTGTAGACAGCTGGGTACTGTCCAGTTGGTGTAGAAAGCTGGGTACTGTCCAGTTGGTGTAGACAGCTGGGTACTGTCCAGTTGGTGTAGACAGCTGGGTACTGTCCAGCTGGTGTAGACAGCTGGGTACTGTCCAGCTGGTGTAGACAGCTGGGTACTGTCCAGCTGGTGTAGACAGCTGGGTACTGTCCAGCTGGTGTAGACAGCTGGGTACTGTCCAGCTGGTGTAGACAGCTGGGTACTGTCCAGCTGGTGTAGACAGCTGGGTACTGTCCAGCTGGTGTAGACAGCTGGGTACTGTCCAGCTGGTGTAGACAGCTGGGTACTGTCCAGCTGGTGTAGACAGCTGGGTACTGTCCAGCTGGTGTAGACAGCTGGGTACTGTCCCTCCTGCCTCCCCCTCCCTGTCTCTCCTGCCTCCCCCTCCCTGTCCCTCCTGCCTCCCCCTCCCTGTCCCTCCTGCCTCCCCCTCCCTGTCCCTCCTGCCTCCCCCTCCCTGTCCCTCCTGCCTCCCCCTCCCTGTCCCTCCTGCCTCCCCCCTCCCTGTCCCTCCTGCCTCCCCCTCCCTGTCCCTCCTGCCTCCCCCTCCCTGTCCCTCCTGCCTCCCCCTCCCTGCACCTCCTGCCTCCCCCTCCCTGCACCTCCTGCCTCCCCCTCCCTGCACCTCCTGCCTCCCCCTCCCTGCACCTCCTGCCTCCCCCTCCCTGTCCCTCCTGCCTCCCCCTCCCTGTCCCTCCTGCCTCCCCCCTCCCTGTCCCTCCTGCCTCCCCCTCCCTGTCCCTCCTGCCTCCCCCTCCCTGTCCCTCCTGCCTCCCCCTCCCTGCACCTAATAGTTGATGCTGTGCTCGACTGCTTCAATAAGTACCTGGTAGGAGCAGGCAGGAGACCGCCAATACGGACATTCAGTGTTGTGTCACAACTGCTGGTAAAGTATGGCACGGCGGGCTCTGTGGCTCCGCGCGGGGTGCCAGCAACAATGCCACCCGCAGTGCCAGACGGGCTGAGGGGTAACGAGATGTTTGGTGTCCACATGCTGGAGTATATGCCAGGCACAGCATCACGGGAGGAGGGTAAACGTGCCTATATTGTATGCAAGAACACTACCCCGAAGAGAACAAAAGCGGAGATGCATCAGCACCTGGGGCGTTAAGTGCAAGGTTCCACTCGGGCCCCGTTGGCTGTTTCCTAGCATATCCCACACTCGCGGAGTTCTGAGAGTGTTGATGGTGTGTATATAGTGTGTGATACTGTACGATACTGTACAGTGTGTTAATAAATTGTAAATATACATAAATGTGCATGACACATTGGAAATATGTACAACATATGTGAAGACACTTGTGATGCATGTAACACAGTGTCTTCAGACTGTACGGATGTTCTACTGCCATAATATAGTGTTCGTGTTCATTATACAGTACATAGGACAGGCAAGAAAAAACAAAACAAATGTATTTGGAACTGTGCGCAAAAAAATAAAAAAAACAGCGTTGAATGTAATGGGCGAGTCCCGGAGGCTGTCAGGAGCTATCCAGGCTGAATGAATATGTATAACTTTCTGGCATCAGTCAGTGCTTGAAGTTCTTGCCTACCGGAGACCACAAGCCATAACCTGGCCCCTCTATAGAGGCATGAGGAACAATGGCATACGGAGACCCCCCCCCCTTATGATTGGGAGCATTCTATGTCTTCCACCGACTGGCACAGGCACCCAGAAAGGTAGGTGCCCCAAAACAAACCTCTATTCTGGTAAACTATTGCGACCGAAGGCCGAACAAGTGGACAGAACTTCCCAAACAAAAATTAGCAAACAAGCATGACGTCATCATGTCGCCGCGCCGCTGTCTGCGCACCCCCCCCCCACTCCTCGGGCGGGGGAAGGGGGAGCCCGCGACCCAACCTTCAGTTCTGAGGCTGGATGTCAAAAAGCTAGACAAACACCGCTGACCGGAGGGAGGGAGGGAGGGATGCCGGGGAGCCTCCGGGACTCACCCAGAAAATAGCGTTTCATTACATTCAACGCTGGTTGTCTTGGGGGAGCCCCGTCGGCTCCCTGGAGCTACCTCACCACAGATAAGGACAAGAGGGAAGGATCCGGGAGGTGGACGCCACGCACCCTATCATAAAAACAAAGCCACAGACTAAACGAAAGACTTGCCAACGACCCGGGAGACCCGAACCCCAGAACAGGAAGGAGGGAAGTAAGGGAATCCGGGCAAACCAAAACACGTACACAGCCCCAGAGGCCAAGACGCGCAGAGAACAGTGAAAAGCCTCAACCGAACCACAAAAGAAAGCACCCCCGGCCTGACCAACCAAGCAGCAGCCCAAGGACCCCTCAGGAAGCAGCAGACCCAAACCTCACCCGAGAAGAAGGAGACTGCATCATAAGAACAACCTACGACAAGGACCAACAGGACAGAAAAATACGGGCGCAGGAAAGTCTCCGACCCGACCCATTGAGGTCAACACCAACAGGAGACCTGAAAAACAAAATACATCAGAACTGAAGGGATCACGACAATCGAGGAGAAGAAAATAGACCACCTGGGCCGACGACCAGGACAGCACCAGAAGCGCAAAATCAGGCCGGAGGAGAAACAATGCCCAAGACAGCAAGTGGAACAGAGCAGAATGAAAAGCAATACCGAACTCAAGCTGGAGAGGCTCCGCCAGTGCCATCCAACACGAGGCAACAGTACACGGCACCAGAAGATGGTCCTGGATCTATCCCGAAGGGAAAGACAAGACAACCCTATCAGAGACCGAAGAACCCTTTGCAGTGATAGGAACATCAGAAGGACCGCCAGGAAACTACACACCGCCACCGAGTCGAAGCACGCAGGCAGGAGGCAGGAGACCAACAACGAAGCCATCAGCGTCCCCACAAGCGACAAGAACACGAGACAAAACCCCAGACACGAACACTCGAGGGGAACCACGAACCAGCCCCATGCAGGGCTGGACTGATCCGCAAAAAGAGGCGGGGGTTGGACAGGCTGGCCAGGGCGTGGGGTGGACGGACTAGCCAGAGCGTGGAGTGGACGGGCTGGCCAGGGCGTGGTGCGGACGGGTTGGCCAGGGCGTGAGGTGGACGGGCTGGCCAGGGCGTGGGGCAGGACAGGCTGGCCAGGGCATGGGGCAGACTGGCTGGTCAGGGCGTGGTGCAGGCAGGCTGGTCAGGGCGTGGTGCAGACGGGCTGGTCAGGGAGTGGTGCAGAAGGGCTAGTCACCTTACTACCTTGAGGTTACCTTGAGGTGCTTCCGGGGCTTAGCGTCCCCGCAGCCCGGTCGTCGACCAGGCCTCCTGGTTGTTGGACTGATCAACCAGGCTGTTGGACGTGGCTGCTCGCAGCCTGACGTATGAGTCACAGCCTGGTTGGTCAGGTATCCTTTGGAGGTGCTTATCCAGTTCTCTCTTGAACACAGTGAGGGGTCGGCCAGTTATGCCCCTTATGTGTAGCGGAAGCGTGTTGAACAGTCTCGGGCCTCTGATGTTGATAGAGCTCTCTCTCATAGTACCTGTTGCACCTCTGCTTTTTAACGGGGGTATTCTGCACATCCTGCCATGCCTTCTGGTCTCATGTGGTGTTATTTCTGTGTGCAGGTTTGGGACCAGCCCCTCAATTATTTTCCACGTATAGATTATTATGTATCTCTCCCGCCTGCGCTCAAGGGAGTACAGATTTAGGCTCTTTAGTCGGTCCCAATAGTTTAGATGTTTTACTGAGTGGATTCTAGCAGTAAAGGATCTCTGCACGCTCTCCAGGTCAGCAATTTTTCCAGCTTTGAAAGGGGCTGTCATTGTGCAGCAGTACTCCACTCTAGAGAGCACAAGCGTTTTTGAAAAGTATCATCATCGATATAGCATATCTAGTGTGAAAAGTTCTTGTTATCCAACCTGTCATTTTTCTTGCAGTTGTGACAGCTACTTTATTGTGTTCTTTAAAGGTAAGGTCTTCCGACATGAGTACACCCAGATCCTTTACATTGCCTTTTCGTTCTATGTTATGATTTGCCTGAGTTTTGTACGTGGTTTCCGTTTTTATATTTTCATTTTTTCCATAGCGCATGAGCTGGAACTTATCTTCGTTAAACACCATATTATTTTCTGTAGCCCATAGAAAGACCTGATCTACATCTGATTGGAGGTTTGCCGTGTCCTCTATGTTGCCTACTCTCATGAAGATCCTAGTGTCATCTGCAAAGGATGATACAGTGCTATAGGTTGTGTTCTTGTCTATGTCCGATATGAGGATGAGAAAAAGTACTGGAGCAAGCACAGTACCCTGGGGGACTGAGCTCTTCACGGTTGATGGGCTGAATTTTATTTTGTTGACTATTACACATTGGGGGTCTGCTAGTCAGGAAATTGTAGATCCATCTGCCTTTTTTTCCGGTAATTCCTTTTGAACGCATTTTATGTGCAATAACACCATGGTCACATTTATCAAAAGCTTTTGCGGAATCTGTGTAAATTACATCAGCATTTTGTTTGTCTTCCATAGCATCTAATGCCATATCATAGTGGTCCAGCAACTGCGACAGGCAAGAGCGCCCTGTTCTGAAACCATGTTGTCCGGGGTTATGGAGATGCTGTGATTCCATGTATTTTGTGATCTTACTTCTTAGCACTCTCTGAAAGATTTTTATGATGTGCGATGTTAGTGCTATCGGTCTGTAATTTTTTGCCTCTGCCTTATTTCCTCCTTTATGGAGTGGTGCTATCTCTGCTATTTTTAGTATATCAGAAATAACGCCAGTATCTAGGCTTTGTCTCCACAGAATGTGGAGGGCCTACGATAGTGGTTTTTTACAGTTCTTGATGAATATGGAGTTCCAAGAATCCGGGCCTGTCCTGGCCAGGGCGTGTGGTGGACGGGCTGGCCAGGGCATGGGGCAGACGGGCTGGCCAGGGCGTGGAGTGGACGGGCTGGCCAGGGCGTGGGGTGGACGGGCTGGCCAGGGCGTGGTGCAGATGGGCTGGCCAGGGCGTGGGGTGGACGGGCTGGCCAGGGCGTGGGGCTGAGGGAAGTAGTGGAAATGGTCCCAATGACCGACCATTTTAATATTTTCCCGGGTCGGTCATTGGCGCAGGGGTATTTTCAATTGTTTTCCTGCCAGCAGGCAACGCTCTTAGGATGTTTACATTCTTCGTAACATTTATAATCTTAGCTCTTCGAGAAAATATATAATTTTCTAAAAAGGAGTACTGAAAGGCTCCCTCCTTGCCCCTGAAAATTTCGTTCAAGGGGATTAAAAGGCCGGTCCCTGTCATAGCCGAATTACGTTACCTCGGTGACCCTGCACAGACATCGCTAATGGTCAGTGACGTCACCAGCTAGCCGCTCAGTGACCCTGCACAGACATCGCTAATGGTCAATGACATCACCAGGTAGCCGCTCAGTGACCCTGCACAGACATCGCTATTGGTCAATGACATCACTAGCTAGCCGCTCAGTGACCCTGCACAGACATCGCTAATGGTCAGTGACGTCACCAGCTAGCCGCTCAGTGACCCTGCACAGACATCGCTAATGGTCAATGACATCACCAGGTAGCCGCTCAGTGACCCTGCACAGACATCGCTATTGGTCAATGACGTCACTAGCTAGCCGCTCAGTGACCCTGCACAGACATCGCTAATGGTCAGTGACGTCACCAGGTAGCCACTCAGTGACCCTGCACAGACATCGCTAATGGTCAATGACATCACCAGGTAGCCGCTCAGTGACCCTGAGTAGTGTAAACCGGGCCAAGTACGTGCGATTTTGGTTTTTTCCCACGCACGTACTTGGCCCCTGGGTTTTACAAACTTTTTTTCCCACGCACGTACTTGGCCCCTGGGTTTTACGAACTTTTTTTCCCACGCACGTACTTGGCCCCTGGGTTTTACGGACTTTTTTTCCCACGCACGTATTTGGCCCCTGGATTTTACGAACTTTTTTTCCCACGCACGTACTTCGCCCCTGGGTTTTACGAACTTTTTTCCCACGCACGTACTTGGCCCCTGGGTTTTACGAACTTTTTTT